TCCTTTATTATAAGGGATTAAGTGTCAAATGGAAATTTCAATATGGATATACCGGTTTGATCTAACACGCCATTTATTATTGTTATATGTCTGTGTACTAATATCGGATTACTATGAATGGAAGATGTTGGTTATATTAATGTAACTATTAATGTTCTAAAATCGTAACAATATTTATACGGAATATTTAATGTTCCAATAAATAATATTGTTACTAATTGTTGTTGGAGTATTATTGTTAAATTATTATTATTATTTGAAAATAAATGGCTTATATTAATGCAACAACAATCAGGAAAAAATACAACATGACTAGAACTTCTTGTGTGTTTAGGCTCAAAAGTTCCCAAGGAGTTAAAATAGTAGCTTGGAGTTTGAGAAAAATAGTCTTAACCTTGATTTTTTTTAATCTCAAGGTTGACTCTTGGAAGCTTTGATTGTAGTGTTGACCTTTGGTGTTGGAGTTTTGAACTTTGAACTTTGAAGTGGCTCAAAAACTAGATCTTAAAGAATGTAGATGGAAAAAATGCTCTTCTCAAATATAGGAGAAAAAGGAATCTTTTAAACTTTCCCACACCTAAACTCCTTGGGAACTTTTGAGACTATAAATATGAACCACTCTTCACTTAGTATTAAAAGGTGAATGAGAAGAGGGGAGCTCTCGCGCACACAAGAATTCCGGCTTCTAGTTCAGAATCGAAAATTCGCACCCCCCTGCGCGGGCGACCTGCGGGCACGATAGTCGTAAAGTTCAGCGGGTCTCAAAAGACAATTTTGCCCCCCTTTTTTTAAGCTTAACCCGGTTTTTTTAATTTATGGGTAAGTCGCCAAACGGTTTGGCGACTTACCCCGACCAGGGTTAAGCCTAGCAGTATATCCGTAAATACTTTTAACCCAACCCTATTTTCGTAAATACTTAATTAATTAGAATTAATACGGAAAAAAACTCAAAATTTTCAACCGTTGAGCAATAATGAAGGGATTGTACCCAGGCCCGTGGAGTCTTTGAGGCAAGTGAGACTACTGCCTGCCTTAGGCCCCCAAATATTGAAGGTCTCATATAATTAGTAATTTTGTATATTACTTCTACAAATTTGTTGTTTTCCATACTTTACTTGATTGCATCATGTTATTATATCAATTCAATCCTTTCTTTTAAAATTTTGACTTCATAATTCATTTCTAATTTTTTATTGGTTTTTTTATTTCATATCCTTAATTTAATGAATACCGTTTATTGTGTCTAACTTTGTTCAATTAAGTCATCATGTCTAATCGAAAATACAATAATAACGGGTATATTATCTATGGAGCATAAACTGCTAGAACATTTAGAGTATACAACTTTTTTTTGATCATTTAGAGTATACAACTTTAATAAGTGACTTTGCTACTTAAAAAGGAAGAAAAATAAATAACTAAAATAAGTCTTTTTTAAACCCGGTAGACGAACAACTCATTAGTGGGGTAAAGGTTGGGAAAAGTTTGCCAGATTTGGTTAAAATACCAAAATATTAGGCCAGAATACCAGAAAGATCATACCTTTCATTTAAAATAAATAGTTCATTTTTCTCCAAACACGCCTCATTTAAATTTTTGCCTCAGGTCTACATATACCTAAACATGGCCCTGATTGTACCGTAGCATTTCGATTTCGAGTCTCCACTTGCTACTTTTAAGTTTGAATGAACAAGACCGTACTTCTTCAGTGTTGTTTCGTCTCAGATACTTCCAAAATGTACGTCAATTTTAATTACACTGATTTTGTCAATCTGTTAACATATTTAATTTACGAGTCATATTGAAGGAGTATATGTGACAGGTTAGATAACATATTCAATATATTTGGTACTACCTAGCTTGTTTTTTACTCCCTCCGTAACATTCATATCTTCCCACTTTCCTTTTTTGGACGTAACATTTATATCTTCCCAATTCTAAATCTTCTCATCATACCCTCAATAATTTAAAAAATAATACACTACTACACCTACTTTTTTTGGATTTATCCTTCATTCCATCACATTATTTCACTATCTTCCCATCATACCTTCAATAATTCATACTCCATTTCACTATTCTTAATCTCACCCACTTTGGAAGTGGGAAGATATATCTGATACGGAGGGAGTATCAGTTTATAACCAACTACGGAGTATTTAAAATCATAAAAAACCAACTATTTAACTGAAATTATAGTTTAAAAATATAGATATACGTAGCACGGAGTATAAGCTAATATTCTCGCTTTTGTTAAAGATAAATCATCTTATAAAGATCGAGCAAGAATAATCGATGCATACAGTTCATCTATAGATTTATTCATAAATATTATTAATATCACACTCCCTTGGTTCTTCAATAATTAATTGGCCGCATAGATTTGTCAAGGAGATTAATAAAAGTTGGAGTGGGTTATGGGTGAAGTAGAAAAAGTATGAATAATATGAGAAAAAGTAAGAGAAAATTAAGAGTATGTTTGATAATATTGAAGTTGGCTAAATTGGATGATTTTGTTAAAATTGATCAAGGTGCTGAAACTGTTAAAAGGCGGAAAAATTTATATCTAAAGCACTTCAAATATTTTATTTGTATAATAAAGAAAAAATTATTTGGGGAAAATTAAAATTATTCTCTACAGACTATAATAACTTCAGTCAAATAGTGAGAAAAACTTACTTTCATCTGTAGCTTACGTATTTTGTTTATGAAACAAGAACGTGAAATTAAAAGTTAGGGGTCATAAGTAGAAAATGAATGTCACTAAACGGGCCCTAACAAAAACAAGGAATTAAAAGAGAAGAAAATGTAGAAAATAGAATTATGAAAAGAAATAATTACATAAATATGACCCAAATAAAGATGGTTTACAAAAATATGACTAGTTACTAGAATATTAATGAAATCATAGTAATTCATATTCAAGTTTTGAACTTAAATTACCACAACACTACGTTGTATTAATTAATAATCATATTTATGTAATAAGTTTTATTTGAGTAATATTCTTGTAAAAAACCCGAAAAGAAAAACGTACAAGGTAAATTTTCTAGGTATGAAAATGTTTCAAATAATAAACGGAACCATACAATAAAGAAACGCAGGTCACTAATTGAAGAACATGCATAAGGAATATAACAAGGGTTTAAGAGCGGTACGTATATTATGGAAAATTGTTGAATAGAAAATGGTACACAAAACAAAAAATATTACTTCAAAATATCAAAAATATCAGGAAATTTTAAATACATATTTTCAGAAAATTAAATACGGACTATCATTCTACGTACGAAGTATATAATAACAACAAACCCAGGGGCGTATCCAGGAATTCGGGATGCCTTGGGCTAAATAACAGTTATACTGGTCTTAAATATTATTGAGGTGGGCTAAATGTGAAAATGAAAAAAAAATACACAAAATATTGACTTTTTTAAGTTTTCCTAGGCTTCAGCCCACCATAGCCCGTACTTAGATCCTCCCCTGAAGGAACCTTAAGATGTACTCCAATTTTTTTCTGAAATCCTAATAGAATACTAAATTACTAATTAGTACGGAGTATAAATTTCTTACCGACAAATATATAGTCAACAATCATTATATAGTTAAGGAATTATGATATCTCTAGTGGCGGTTTATGATTTATTTTATCAATACATTTTTTGAATTAATTATATCATTAGGTTTTGATTTGTGATGCTTGGTTAATGATAACATTGATCATTATTAAATCAAAATATTAGGAAAAGTGATTTCCAAATCGTTAAATTTATTCATAAAAGGGGTTTTGTGCATGATTAATTAAAACACAAGGAGGTTTGATGCATTTTCTAAATCATAGGGGGCTAAAGCGCCAAATTTCCATATCACATGGGGCTTTGGTACATTAACCCAGCGTTTGCGGGTGAAAAGGCCGAAAAGCAAACGGCCCTATGTTGAAACTCATTGAACTATAACCGTGTTTGATGAATTATGAAAAAGTGATATTTAAAATATATTTTATAAAATTAATAAAGGAAAATACAAAAAATCTAAAATAACACTTTCCAACAAAAGCATATAGAAAGTTGGCTCCCTAGGGTTATCGGCCGATAACCCTACGACTAGGACTGTCCGCCTTCGATTTTCGGAGTGCGAGTGTTATTGGTTAAGAAGACGGTGAGGGGGCGGCGTAGACGGTTGGTTAGGAGAACGGTGGGCTCGGATTGGTAGCAGGGGCGGTGAGGTTGGTTATTTAACCAGGTCATTCGGATGAAAGCAGGCGGTGTGGCTGGTTCATCAGACTCAGAAATCCGGCGAAGCCTTCCATATCTTCATGGAGAACGTTGTTGATCGGTATAAGCGAATGGCGATTGGAGGCGAAGAGGAAGAGATAAATCTTGACGATGGAGAGGTTGTGTAACACCGTCCCCAAATGTATTTACTCTTAAGTGAATAATGTATTGAACCTTATGGAATGGTTAATGAGTATACGAAGTTGTGAATTTATTATTATTATTATTGTTTTTGCGTGAATAGTAAATTCACACGGGGGGCCCGCACCGGGAGCGGGGACCGCCCGATATTCCCGAGACCGTATATTGTATTCATATTGGTCGAGATAATAATTATACAGTGGTGGATAATTTATTTGGGAAAAAGAAATGACATAATGTGGACCGATTGGTCAAAGATGGCTCAATTGGCGGTATTGGTAATTTAACAGATAACAGCCCGAAATGAATTTCGGGGGCTTATAAATTAAAGTTGGGGAATGTATATTCATTATAAGGGTCATAATGATTGAGAACGCATAATATATTTTATTTGACCCGATAAAATAAAATATATTTAAAACTGTCCGAAAAATACAACTTTCGGGGCCGATTGTACACTTCTGGACGAAAAGGGTTGACCTCCGACTTGGGTGGGGGCCAACCCACGAATTTGGTCACCCAAATTTAGATGATTGGCCGGCTGAAGTGATGAAGGAACATGGGAGAGAGTGTGATATGAATGGAATGGAATCAAACAAATTAAAATAAAGTGGGCCTCTCCCCACACCCCTCATTCTATTGAGACAAAAGAAGGCACCCACCTTCTTCCTTCTTCATCATTCGACCATAATCTCAAGAGAGGGAGGAAATCCCAGAAAAATAACACCTTCCATAGCCAAGGACAAGCAAGCTCAAGGAGGTCCAAGGGAAAGAAAAGTTTTCAGGAGGAAAAACTAGGTGGATTAAGGTAAGGACCTTATAATAACTTTTCCTCTATTCTTTAATTATCATATGATTTATATGTCATATGAAGAACCCTTAGGATTGTTCTACATGTTATGAGTGTGGAATAATGGGTTGGAAGGTAAAACGACCGGTTTACCGGAAAATAACCTTTTAGAGGTTATATGTATTGATTAAGGTTTTATGATGTTAAAACCTTGTTAGGAACTTGATTTAAAGTATTTTTGAGCTTCGCCGGAGTTTCGCCGGAGTTGGTCAAAGTTCGCCGGAATTAGTCAAAGTTCAATCGGGAAGCGTAGAACGCGCTTAAGCTCACTTAAGGTGAGGATGACCGACTATATTGCTTATAATTATTGGGTTAATTTCTTGAGTTTACCTAAATGAATTAAATGTGTTTGACATGGTTTAATAATGATTAAAAATGCCTAAATGAAATTATTATTGTTTATGAGTAAAAATGCATAATGTACAATTTTATGAACAAATTGTGTATGATTATGTGTTATGAATACAATGGCATGATAGTTGTATTAACCATGAATTTCATTGTGATAAATACACTTTTACCTCACGTAAAGAAGTCATGGAAGGATAAAAGTGATATTTTGATATTAGAGCCAAATTATACTTGAATGTAGAATTAAATGGAAATATACGAACTATTATGAATTAGCATTGGTTATATTAAGATTAAACGACTAGTATAGAAATACTAGTCGGAAATGTTAGTTCAATGGTTCTTTGGAGCTAATCCCAAGATATTGAATTGTGGCGGGTACACCCTAAGTAACCTTAAAAGATATTTTTAAGGTGGACTTTATGAACTCAAGTTACATTAGGAGTAGGCCTTAAGGGTTACTCAAAAAGGATGGAGCCTAGACTAAGAAGTTGTTTAGGGATTAGATGACGTGACTACGAGCCGAGCTCTAGCACATGGTAGTATGACTATGAGCCGAGCTCTAGCAAAAATGTAGTATGACTATGACCCGAGCTCTAGCAGAATGTAGTATGACTATGAGCCGAGCTCTAGCAAAATGTAGTATGACTATGAGCCGAGCTCTATCAAAATGTAGTGTGACTATGAGCCGAGCTCTAGCACAAATTAGTATGACTATGAGCCGAGCTCTAGCATGAAGGAACATGAGTTAACTATAAATTAATAACATCCTAGATTGAGGGTCTTGGAAATTGAAACTTTGATTATACTTAGTATAGTTGTCATTGTACTTGTCAAATGCTTCCAAGTAGTGACCTCCCCTTCACGGGGGAGGCCACCTCACAGTTTCAGGTAGAACTTGAAGGTTTCTACCATCGCCGTTGCTTCGGGAGGATCCAAGGAGAGGAGACGTGGTTCGTCCTTCCTCCGTTTCTATTTAACAAACTTTATAAACTAATGCGCATGGATATTATTTTTAAATATTTGTTTGGGGGCTTGTATGCCCATGGTTGCCAAAGTGTGGCATGAACACTTGTATTAAATGTTTCCGCTGCTTTGAATGAATATTTTACATTATGTTGGTTTATGGATGTACTATGTGTGAACGATATTCCAGACGCCTTGTATAGTATGGATGTGTTGGACTGCGGTTGACTATTCGTACTGTACGGCAGATTGTTGACGTGTCCGGGTAGGTCCAGGGCGTGACAGGCTGAAGACGTTCCAGCGGAGGAAGCGGTGGTGGGCTTCCCGGTGCTCGGGCAAGTGCTGACTGACCGCAAGGTCAGGTTCGCGGAGCTTAAAGAAAAGATGATTACTCTCTGGAGGCCAGGGAAAGGTATGTCGGTTAAGGAAATCAGGGAAACGAGGTACCTGTTTTCTGTTAATCATCGCTTTGATATGAAACGTTTTCTGGATGGGGGCCTTTGGCAGTATGAACTTAGTTTGGTTTTGCTTAAAGAGATTATGCCTGATGATATACCACACAAATTCATTTTGAATGAGGCTGAATTTTGGGTCCAGATTCATAATGTTCCTTACAGTCTGGTAAATCTAGGCACTGCTAGACGTGTTGGGAGTTTTTTAGGAGAGTTTGTCAAATATGATGATTATAAGAAAAAAGAAAAATTAGAGTCATACATGCGAGTTAGGGTTCTTATGAAGATGGATACATCTCTAAAGAAGGGGACAAATTTGAAAAAATATGGCAAAAGTTTTTGGGTGGACTTTAAATATGAAAGACTGCCCACCTTTTGCTTTATCTGTGGTATGGTTAGTCACTCAAATAATTTTTACCCTCTGAATTATGAAGAAGGTTTGATTTTGGAAAAAAGATTTGGATCTCATCTTAGAGCAAGTAGCGGGGTAAAGACCAACCCTAAAGGAGGGCAAGCCGGGTTACTGGAGGGCTCATCGAGCTCTGGCAAACTGGGAGTCGGCCCAGAGAAGGAGGCAAGGACAGAATCTGCTCAAAGCTTCACACAAGGAGGTGAGGTGCCAAAGGAGGAGGCCTCCAAAAGTAGGAAGATCTGGGAGGTCCAGACAGAGGAAGAACTAGAGGAGGACAACATGGCCACTGATGGGACAAAAAATGGGGAGGAGGTGGGTTTGATTCCTTAAGCCCGTCAGATACACTGGTTGAAGGTGTAAGGCCGAAAGGTGGAAGACTGGTTCTAGTTGTCTGGCGGCAAAAAGGATGTTATTTATTCTGTTTTGTTTTCTATTTCGTTAATTTTTGCTGTAGCTTTTGGATTTGTTTCTGGTTTCCTGTTCTGGTTTGTAAGACATTGGGTTTGGATGTGGGGGATGAGAGGAATTTGGTAACCGAGTTAGGCTTATTGTTTCCCGGTTATGGATCAGCGAATTATATTGCTACGGCGATTAATTCCGAGTCTGGTTCGAGGGATGATGGTTATCAGTTTTTTTTTGTCAGTTGACTCATACTCTGAACTTTTATTGGTTATTTATCTAAGCCGATTTCAGTCAAAAAAACAACAAAAGCATATAGAATAGTAACTTCCTACTTATTTTAATTATTATAAAATTCATCACATGAAATTAAGAATTTATTGTATGATAAGATATTGATTCATAATACTTGTAAATTCAAACTAGAGGTTTACAAATGAGCCCTAAAATGTAAAATGGAGTTGAGTGGAGTATATTTAAAAATTAATATCACCCTTTAAGATGTGACGAACAAACATATTACTTTAAACTATATTAGTGACTATAATTGTGTTCAAAGTTTACATCGTAGTAAATTACATGTAATTACTACGATGTAAATTGAACACAATTATCATACTAAGTAATATTTTTGTTCATAACGTTTTATTAATAATATTTAAGAACAAAACCTCTTATATAAACACTAATCGTAAGGATTTCGCTGCAATAGAACGGAGGTTAAATTTGGAAACATAACATAAGAAAATACGAAGTAAATCCTAAGAGTTTGATATTCTGAAAATGGTTAATTATTCTCTATCAACATATTCATGAGAATAGATAGTAATGGTCTGTTTGGCAATATATTCAATGGTTTAATTGGTTGAATCTACTCAAATTTTGGTTGAAACAATTGAATTACCTAAGACGAATTATGGAAAATTTATATTTGCACTATATTTTATTAATGATATAGAAAAGTATATTGCATATGAAAACATCTAAAATGATTCTCTATAATAAATTTAGTCAATTACAATCCTACTTATTTAAATTATTACACAATTCAGTGCGTGAAATAAGAATTTACGAATTTGGAGGTTGTTTGGTAACCCACCTATTTCTATCTTTTGAGTCATATCAATCGACTTTTTTTTTCAAAACATGTAACCTATAATTTCAAATGTTAGATTACGTAATAATAAAAAGGGAAAGTTCCTGAAATGGGACTAAAAAAGTTTGAAAATTCCAAAATAGGACTGTCATGTTTTTATTCCCAAAATAGGACTAATTACTGCCAAAGTTGGAAAATACTGCCATGTTTGAAGTCTGGTACTGCCAAAACATGACAGTATTTAGTCCTATTTTGGGAATAAAAACATGGAAGTCCTATTTTGGAATTTCCAAACTTTTTAGTCCCATTTTGGGTAATATCTCTAATAAAAATAGTAAGGTTCAAATTACTTTTATAATTGATTTGGCTGAAGTTAATGCAGAAGACCATTTCATCTGTTTTTCATGTAATTTTTTGTTAGGGAAAACTGTCAAATAGGTCCTCGAACTTTCATAAAAAGGTCAATTAAGTCCTTCTATAGAAGGTTCTGTCCGGCCGTCGCGATTTGGGGCGGTTCCCAATGAAATTTTTTGATGAATTTTTTTGAACATCTTATTCATCAGGTCTAGTTTACTCATACCAAATGTCAGCTAAAAATTCAATCGGAAACACATTCAAATTAATTCGTGAAGATAATTGCGCATTTTTGCGTTCTCGAATTAATTTGAATACGTTCCCAATTGAATTTTTACCTGAAATTTGGAATGAGTAAACTAGACTTGATGAATAAGATGCTAAAAAAATTTCATCAAAAAATTCCACCGGGAATCGCCCCAAATAGCGACGGCCGGACAAAGTCTCCTATAGAAGGACTTACTTGACTTTTTTATGAAAGTTCGAGAACCTATTTGACAGTTTTCCTTTTTTGTTATATTTCTTAAGAAAAATAATCTCAATATTTTTAAATATAATTTTTCTATAATCCAATAAATTCAGTTAGCGATTTTTTCCTATAATCGGTCAGCCAATTGAAGTAATCTCAATATTATCAAATAGGTTCTTGATAAAGTAAAGCGGACGAGAAATTGGAAATAGTTTTAAACCTTTTATTTTTATACTCCATCTATCTCAAAATGAAGTTTTGACATACATACCTATACTTATATAAGATATTAAGATAGAGTTTTGTTTCGATCAAGTACAACATTGTTTTATGTTAAATCAAGCAAAAGTGAATAAATGAGTAAATAGCAAAAACAATTGTGACTTTTTCATTAAAAAATCATTTCCTTCAGTAAAAAACTTCTTTTTTAGACAATAATGAAAAGAAAGTGGAAACTTTCGGCAATGTTATCTATCTTCCATCACTCCAAAAATTGGAACGAACAAGCTTACGAATGAGTACCCGGGAATTGATAAGGTGGGCCTACACCATCTTACTGATAAGGGGATTGCACTTCAGTACTTCAACGTTGGCCCACAGAACGTGGCGGATAAAGCATGATAATAATTTAAAAAGATGAGTTGGATGTCTATCCTGTTTTCATTCTTCTACTACTATATTCTTGGCCCACTTGATTGATTCCCGTAAAACATTGCCATGCCCACTTTTTATTCTGTTTCTAAAATATTTTAACACTAATCTTTGTCTACTTCGTATTAAATAATTCTAAGATTCTTAATTTTTCGTAAGTTCCTTTTACTTTCCTACTAATTAATTATTCAATACCTTTGAGACTAATACATCAATTATTATCTAAATAGTCATTGAATTTGAACAACTTTATTCAAAAGATACTTCCTGAATTACACACATTTTAACGAATAAAGCGTTTTTTATTTAGATTTCCACAATGAATTTTTACTAAGAATAAATATTATTATAGTGCACATTATTTTGACATTGTTCAATAATGTTTGAGAATGTACAGTTTTTTGGAAAAGGATGTATGGTTGATAAAATCATATGCTTATTTTTACCATCTAAACAAAAAAAGGCTTTGATTAGAGACAATCACAAAAGGAACTGGAGTCACTCTCAAAAAGAAGGAACTGAATTCACGAAGTTGTAAAGGGATGTAAGAGATTATCCAATACGAACTTGCTCAAAAATGCATTGTCATAGACATTGAGATAAAATTACTTAGTCCAATGAAATTGTGTATATGAAACGTGTGGCTGTGTCAGCAAAATTTTTAAGGGCTTGTCTACTACGTACGATGTCCTCCAAGGTTGTCACCATGATTGTGTTGGGGAATGTGGTTTGTTTTTTCAAAAATGAGAAAATAAAATAATCGAACGAACTCAAAATAGAACGAGCAAAGGGATAGTCAAAAGTCAAAACTTATGCAACATACAAAGTTCTCAAAACCAATATGGTCCCACAGTGCTAGGAGCGTTGCAATTTCAATTTTTCAGCATACGATGACAAACGAACAACAATGTATTGTCAATATTAGGCAGTCAATAGGTTGCTCCGGTGAACTAGAACAAAGGGTAGAACAAAACCTCGCCAGAGTTGGTTCTTTAAACAATTTAGCGTGTTGGTCGTTGTGCTCACTGCTCAGCGTACTTTCCAAAATATTCAGCCAAACATATACAGGGGAGGAGGAGCGTGAGTATTAAACTCGTCATTAACGTTTAAAATGTTACAACCATTAAACCATGCATTAAGAGTTTGTAACGACCCATTATATTAAACATTTATAACGTTGCCAACATCACTTCGTTAGAGAAAGAAACTTATGTTTCAGTTCGAAAATAAAAAATCAATTTATCTAATATCTGTAAGATGGATTTTCGGACGACATTCGTATCCGCGGGAATACCAGTGGCGGAGCCAGCGATTCATTTGAGTGGTGTCAACTTTTTGAACTAAATTCTACGTATATGACATGATATTAAAATTTTTTGTTGATAATTATACGTTTTCTACAATTATTCGAGCCAACATTTTGGTTTTAATACCAAAATACAACTATGTATGTACAACCTTTAGATCAACTCACCCGATAGGAACGTTGAGTTTGTAGGTTGTAAATTATGAGTTTGTAGTTTGTAGTTTGTGAATTATGAAATATCCCTTATATATATTTGACTTTGTATATATGTTTGAATAATTGAGTATGAATTAATTATTTATAGTCTGTTTTACTAGTGATAATCGGTGATAAGTTCAGTATGTATTATCTAACATTATGCTCCCTTAAAAATATTGTATATGTTTCTCATCATTGATACATTAATTTCAAACACTTTATTGATAACAAATTTTAATATAACTAATTAATAAAGTAGTGCTACGATAATAAATTCTTCAAATATTACATGTGTAGATACCATCATACTCCCTCCGTCCCGCTACAATTGTCTCATCTTTCTTTTCCAGTCCATTCCACTTAGATTGTCATATACCAAATTTGGTAAACTTTTTGTGGTTGTAAACCTCTCCTAATTTATTCCTACTTTATCAATTCAATATCAATCACATAAATTCATTTTTGTTATACCGATCGGTATAACAAAAATGAATTTATGAATAGTAGGATGGAGGTAGTACTAGATAATCTTCTGATATGAATAGTTTTTTATGATACACATTATCTTATCAAAATTTAGAGTCAACGTAATAATCGACCAATTCTTCCATTTGTCACCTTAATCAAGGTGTTTTTTGTCAACTTTAAATTTAAGAATCCTTATATTTGTCTTGTTTAAGTATTCTAGTGCATCATTTATTGAAATGAGTAAAAGATATTATTCATGGCTAGATTTTATTACATGTAAATTTGTTTTAGTTAAATAAATATATTTTGACTCTTTCAAAAATATTTATGAAATAAACTTAATTATTTACATAAATACCACTAAAATTTACTATAGTATAGTGTTGAACATAGGGTTACTATAACTAAAGTTTCTAATGTAGTCACAACACTTAAGACATTACTTTTGTAAATAACTTTTATTTTAGTTATAAATATGTAATTGTTTCATATATATATATATATATATATATATATATATATATATATATATATATATATATATATATATTGACCCTCATTTCGTTAATATAGGTGGTGTCAAATTGATTTTTAGAAAATATACATTCATATATAATTACAAAAAATATTTGAGTGGTGTCAATTAATTATCATTGTATTTATATAGGTGGTGTCAAATTAATTTACAGAAAATATATCTCTATATATATAATTGCAAAAATTATTTGAGTGGTGTCAATTGACACCACACCCTTATATGTGGCTCCGCCACTGCACGGGACAACCCCTGTGCGTGAAAAGAGCTTTTCCGGTATACAATCTTGACT